AACTAGAAAAGGAGAGTATCTTCTGCAAAGAGCTTTTTGGATACCACCAATTCTAGCCAACAAAACTTTCTTATTTCGAAATAAGCAACCAAACACATCCTTATTCCAATCAACAAGAGCTATAGAGAGGTCTTTAGTTTTTTGAAGAATATTTCAAGTACAATCAGCCCATTTCTCAGCCACAAAGCTCCGAAAGGTAGGGTGCAGGAGCCACATGGCTTGAAATCTAAAAGGCTTGACATTAGCGCATGGGAGGTGAGATGACTGAAGGCTTATCAGCAGAGGACAATGATCAGACTTGACCCTAGGAAGATGTCTGACAAAGGCCTCAGGAAATTTATGTCTCCAATCAATGTTGGAAAGACCACGATCCAATCTTTCCCAAGTGAGGACACCATTATCATTTTGTCTACACCAAGTAAACTGAGCACCAATAAAGCCAAGATCAATCAATTGATTTCTATCAATCCAATCCACAAGCCCACCCCGATGAGAAAAGGGGTTACCACCACATTTTTCAGAATTATTGACCAATTCATTGAAATCCCCAGCAATCATCCAAGGAAGGTTTGAAGCTGAGGCAATCCCATCCAGATAATTCCATAATTGTCTTCGAATGCCAGGGCAAGGGTGCGCATACACTGCAGTAAAAAGCCAATCACCATGATTCATTTTAACTAGAGCTGTAATAGACTGCCTAGAGTAGGCAACTATGTCAATGCAGGAAACCAACTCATTCCAAAGCATCCAAAGGCCCCCTGAAAAACCATTAGCATCGACAACATGATACTTAGAAAAACCAAGTTTCTTAATAACATTGAGGGCAGTGTTGCCACTAATTCTAGGCTCCAAAATAACAAGAATCTCAATCTTGTGAATTTTAACTAAATCTTTCATAATTCCAGGGAATTTTTTGCTCCCTGCACCTCTTACATTCCAGACCATAATCATGATGATGGGAAAAAGGTAATAAAGGAAAACTTGAGGTAACAACCTCATTGTCTGGACGAGTTCAATACTTCTACCAAGGTAGAAGCAGCACCAACAACTCCATTTTTAACATCTAGCATAGCTTTTTTAAGTCTAGCAGCATCCAAATTAATGGTAATCTGAGGGGCAGATTTATCCCCATGGTCATCATCCATCTCATCTTCTGGAATAACATCCATTTTATCTGCAGAAGGGCCTGGGTCAGGAGGCTCAATCCCAGGTAAAGTAGGAGGAATAGACTTACTAGATTTAGGAGAGAGCTTGGATTTCAAACTTGCCACAACGTCCCCCAACGTGGCTTCTTGAAAATCAATACTCCTAACTTGGAAACCAGTCGATTTTCCAGTCACAACACCTTTTAATTTTCTCTTCGAGGTAGCGCGAGCATCAAGACCAACTTTGGTAGTGGGGGCGCTTGGAATAAATTTCTCAAAACCAACCTGGGTAGTTTTCGCCACACCATCATTCGAGATATCTCCCAGGGCTAGACGGGATTTACCTTTTGG